AAGGTGCTAAACTTTCGTCCGTCATATGACGGACATCATCAGAGCGAGGTAACATCGTCACAACAAAATTAAAGCTAAAGAGTCAAGAAATTATCGTGAAGCATGTTGTCCTGCTCTGACGTTGTCCGTCACATGACGGGCGGAAGCTCAGTAAGGATTTATCGGAGTCGCAAGGCGGTACGCCGAGGACCTATTCGCTGAAATCTACAACCACAGCTCCAAGGCAACCCTCAACAGCCTCCAGTGGAACCAACTTACAAGTCCCTTCGACTCGTCTTTTCTAACGAAATGAAAGGTATTCCAACATGTCAAAAATACTTTAGTGCAACTTCAAACTAGGGAATTAAATAAAATGTGCCTTGATTTTGATATTTTTCAAAGATTCACTAAAACTGCTCAAGTTTTCGTCAAATGCCTAACCTCTTCTCCCCTCAATGCCTTGTGAGACTATATACGTGAACCTCTCTCTTCGTGCACACTCAAAATAAAACAGCTTAAGTTAATAATGTGTAAACTTTGAGGGTTTGGGAACTGATCAAAATTACTTCTCGGAATTTCGATGAAATACTGTGCTTCGCCTCATATACAAATAATGTGAGCAGGACTGAAACGCTATCAGGCCCAAGCGAACGATTCATTTTTGATGTGGATGCCTCGGTCTCTTGCACCTCCATACTGTTATACTTTTCAGGTGGTGTTGAAAGTGTGAAAGCGTGCTAAGAGGACGAAGGCGTATTTCTCTTGGTCTGCTGCTTGATATTGTTGGGAGGTAAAGAAAAATAAATAACGGATCAAAGAAACTCCGCCGTCGTCTTCTGCTGAGCCCGACCTACGGACTTCTTTATCCCACAATTTTATACGAAATCGAGTGAGTAGGTTTTCGAGACTACCAGTAAATCATATATATGAGTTGTGTTCCCCTTATTTGCTTTAAGACGATGATGAAAAAAGTAATGCCGTCGATTGCTATAGCAAATATAAGTTTGCTTCATCGACAATCCCAACACAGAATGTGATATGGAAAATGCCTGACATTCCATGAAATTCACATCTGCATTGTGACCCAAGGGCACTCGTGAAAATATGGGGTAGTAGTTACCGTGTCAAGATTACACACTGAACTGTCATGGTTCGACTCCCGCTTGGGGTGTACACAAAAAATATGCGAGGTCTAAACTGTCATTCACCCTTTTGGGAAAGCAAGGCTATGTGAAATTTAATAAAAACTTCAGCTCTATTCACCTCATTATGAGAAATTTTAATTATCACCTTGAGTGAAGTAGGATGAACACTACTCATATATACGAAATGAAGTTCAGCAGAAGAATGACATATCAGCAGATTAATTTAAAACGAGTCAAAATATGTTGACGCATGGATTTTATTGACATCTGTATCTACCCTGCTACCCACTGGCACCGTTGGCAGTGGCAACGTTGTTATTTGACTCAAAAGACACGGGTTAGAATCCCATTTTGTTCCTTAACTATGTATATTTTATGGAATAAAAAAGTCAGTTATTAGCAACTTTCACTCCAACTACGTCTGTCTCCTAGTCACAAGTAGGACGTGGTATGTTAGAGCCAATACTTCAGTAAATAAAAATCTGCCGAACTTTTCAATAAATCCTTTTGTAATTTATTGAACAAGGACATTTAATTTTAAATGAAAAGATGGTTTCAAAGAATTCTAAGGATTTTTTGAGTTTTGGCTTATGGGTTACGCGAAAAATTACATAGCCCACCATCCTCCGACCCCGATAAATCCGTGCAGAGCGTTGGCCATCATCGAAAGTCTAAGCTAAACAAAGTTGCCTGCTGCAATCACACTTGCTTCGTATGCCAAAATAGGAAAATAAATCCCTAAAGTTACGATGTATAGTGTAGTTTTCACACACTCTCGTAGGTGGAGACCTCAAGATACCATTGGATTGCATTTGTCCTTGTCTTCCAAATTATTCTATTCCTCAGAGTGCGCCACAGTCTCAACCACGCCTGGGTTGCATCAGTGCCCCAACGAGTTTCGAAACCGGGTAGTGAGAAACAGTAATTTATTCCCTTTAAGTGATCTAGTGGGACCAAGTTATAATCCACTAATTACCAATAGATTTAAGGCCTACCATGCAAATATATGGTTGCTTCTTCGATCCTAGCGAAGCATGTTGACTCCATGTGAAGTGGAGACTTGAAAGCAAGCTCATCTCACTTATTTTCCGTTGGCTAAACATCGTCAATCGCCTCCTGACAGCTTGTTTATACTTTAGACAAACTGGCCTCCAATGTGCCAGTAGTGCAGTAGGTTAAGTGTGTGAATCAGTTGCTCCTTCACGGGCAGAGTATGTCACATCGGCACAGCAGCAGCAGAAATCATTTCTACCACCAGAGGCTTGATCACATCCATCCGGAATGCGGAAACCATAGCCCATGAAATGTATGACAAATCAATTTTATTCGCCTCCGCTTTCACATTTTATCAAGAGTCAGAAATTTCACTTTCGCCGAAAGCATCAGTCACGTGTTGTCATTCAATTTACACGTCGAATCATATGACTAGGATACCTCTGCAATTACAGGCTTTTGATTCATTCATCCTAGGTTGGTGTTATTTCAGAAAGACAAGGTCACCAATACACATGACTTTACCTGGTCTTAGCAACCTGGCCAAGCAGTTCTGTACAGCATTCGGATAGCGGAGGGCTGGTGAGATAGGGAAAACCTCAGTCTTTGATACCAGGGCTGCATGTGAGATGCCCTCTTTTACCGCACCAATTAGCAGCTTATAAAGTATAGGCAACAGGTTGAGTGGAGCGAATTCTCCTCCCGTCATGGCCGGCATTCGGCAAAAAGAGGCATAACTGAACTCAAAATAAGTGTAGAATTAGGCTAGGGCAGAAGAGACTGGCCTGTATCAAATCCGACTCCCCCAGATGGTTTCTATCAATCAGTCGGCCTGGCTACAGGTAGACTGCCTGCAAAAGGGTGAAACGTTCTAGTCTAGACTAGGCG